TTTGTGAGCACGCGATTAAGCTAGTCGCTAAATTTGGAGTGCACATGTATTATAGCCTTGTGGTAAATGCAGTTAAAAGGAGCAAAGCGAGCTGACAGGCTGGTTAGCAACTTTTCCTTTTCACTTTGTAACTAGTCCTACCTGAAGAGAGGCCATTAAGTCTTAATTGTACGCAATACGAGCCCAACATACAATATCATTTATCAAATCGTGTTGGTGAATGTAGCGCAAGGAAGGAGGGACAAAGTCTGCTTTTCAAAATAAGGTGTTAACACAACATATACAGTATAGAAATTAGGAAATAAATTGGATTATATCCACAGTTAAGTATCACACGCTACATGTGTCCATTAAAAGATAAAAAAGGGAAATTAGGGAAATTACTTACAAATGATTATTTGATTTAGGGTTGCTGAAAACATTGAAAAATGAGTTCACTTTTTTGATGTTTCATCACCATTTATATCTATGCAGTGTGTTTAATCACTGTTGTTTACTAGGGCACAACATTTTAACAGGAGTGCAAAGTTCTTCATAGATCTAGCCTCTTTATTTTGCACCAAATTAAAGCACTTAACTTTAAAATGTACACATTTTGATTCCGAGGAGTCCAACCACCATAGTCTCACAAAATCCTGTGGGAAACACTGAAATCACATTGAGCACTGAAGCTCACACTGGCCTGAACCTTGCTGTGTGCGCATTCTCAGAGTTAGTGGTGGTAAATGAGATTAGGAAGAACACACTGTAGTAAGGTGCAGGTGATTTTGTCCGGTGCAGTCATGTCAACATGCAACATGTCGGTGAGCAGTCCGATGGTACCTGTTTTCTAGTTTGCTCTCTCTTGCTTTGCTTTACTCTGTACCTCTGTCTCTTAACCCTGCCTCTCCTCTTCTCCCCCTCTCCATCGTCAGGATGGCTTGCAACAGCCTCAGCCCTCTTTCTCTCTCCGTTAAGCATATCAGGCGCTTAAACCCCTTACGTTGGAAAAGCATTTATAGGCAACAATTATGTAAAGTACGTTAAGCCCCAGCCAATTGTGCTTTGCTCGTCTATCCCCTTATTTGCTGCAGGTTTCCACGGAAAAATAACACCCAAACGCACACTTTAGACGCCCTCACACACACAACCATGTAAGCGTGTGAAAAAAGTTTACACAGTGGAAGTGAGTGCAAAAAGATGAAAAGAATGAGACTGCCAAAGAGATGATATTGAGTTTGAAGGGAGAGGAGGGAAGAAAGTGTGTGCAAAAGAAAAAGAAACTGTAAAGGAAGGTGATAGAGACAGAGATTGAGAAAGTTACCGACCCCCGAGAAGAAGCTAACAACATATTGTGACCTCACCAACTCACCTCTAAAGCACTAAAACCAGATTCTGCGTAGCTGTGACCTAGGACACTCACTTCAACAGAGACTGGAAGTCCTTGGAAGCCTTATCTGCCTGAGACACAACTAGATGAGCCAGCCTTGGCCCGTATGACAGAATTATTACTAGGCCACTTGCTTTTTGTCTGTCATTGGTTTGTTGATGGCAGGGAGTAAGAAATCCTCCAAAAATCCTTCATTTGCCATTCTGCAGAACACAGAGTATACCAGAAGAGCAGCAGGGAAGAGTGCACCAGGAGAAGGGCAAGTTGAAGCAGCAAACTATTGCACTGATAAAAGGTGGCTGTCTATTTGTATGAACTGTGCTTTATTCTACACTTTTCTTCATTAGACAAAAATGTAAATCATTTATGAATCAGACATCTGATCTTCAAAGAAATTGAAATGAACGCTCTTTTATTACTCCTTAAATTACCAGTTCCAACAAAATATTGCATTTATTGAACTAAAAATGAAATGAAAGTGGAGGAGCAGATGTTTTATTTATAATCGGGGTGGTGTTAGATTTTGTTGTATTCTCACTTTGTCGTATGTTACCCACAATTAATCTTTATTTGTTTAGTTGTCAGAAAGTTCTTATACTTGTTGGTGATGCAAAGCAATATTATTTGGAGAGTGGTATATTACATTTAAAGTTATAATAAGATTTTCTAGAAATCAAACCCCATTTCTGACAGTACTTATGGAATTTTTAATGCAACAGCCTCTCAGTGTTTTTATATTAAGTAATTATGTTTCTGTAAAGTACATTTTAGTGGAAGTGGTGGGTCCACCAATGTGCCTTCCTAAACATGAGGGATTCACAGGAAATGATGTAGAATTTGACCTCATTGTAATAATTCTGTAATTCTCACACTGTGTTAATTTACAACTGGTAAAACACAGCGGAGATTTTTTTGTGCCAAAGGATAAGCAATATACTTATCACTGTGGTTAGCGCAGACAATTGACTGTTCATCAAAAATGTGCCTACTTAACAAGATAACTGCATTGTTTTTAACAGAGGATAAGTGTTTTGTTTTTGTAATTGAGTAACAGACCAGTCAGGAGCAGCCACAACGAGCTGTTAGATGAAGAGCTGCAGGCAACAGGGGGCACACCTCCCAACTCCTCAGCAAGCTAATGTGTCCTGCTGTTGTTTAGAAAACTACTTTGCAACCACGGCACACTACCGTTGCAATTATTTTGACCGACTTCTTTATTAAAATATTGCATCTGAGGTTTGTGGCAATACAAAAGAAAATTAAATCAGACAAGAAAATGATATTCAAAATGATTTTTGGGAAGAAAACAACAACAATGTTTTATGCACTGAAATCTTTCAGGCCAAATGAGAACCAGATGATGTCTGGTGAAAAGTAGAGCCCGACAGATATGGGTGTTTGGGGGCCGATGCCGATTTATGAGCCGATATTTAGATTTTGAGAATGATTTGGATAGTAGACTCCTTTACTGTATAAACACACTTAGAACAAACCGAGCTGTTCTGTATGTGGGCTATAAAAACTTTTCCTAAGCAGACAGGCAAGCTAATGCTGATGTATCACATCAGCTGAATGCAGGCAATGTAAACATGAACATCAACCTCAAGCTGATAAAAATATTAGTGTAACATCAGTCTTCCGCTTTCACACTGCCTTTCCCCCCGGGAGTCTTGTGCTGGTATTGTGAAAGTGGGTGTGTTTTACATTGTTCTCACTCTTGAGTTCAAACACGCGTATGAGCACACACCTTGTTGCAATCTTAAAACCGCACCACTAGTGGCCGCTGAAAACTACAACTACTACCGATTTAATACTAGGTGATGCAGAAGTTAGCACTGTCACCTCACAGCAAGAGGTCCTGGGTTGGAAACCAGAGCTGGCTCCAAGGTTCCTTCCCCGGGGAACCTTTAATTTAGACAGTGTGCAAAACAGAGGATGTCTGTGTTATGCAAAAAATTGTGTCCTCTTACATTTAATCTTTTATGTATGATCTTTTAGTATTATTATTATTACTATTACTATTACTATTGTTGTTATGTTTTATAGATATATATGTATTGTCTTTTTATCTTTAACCTTTCCTTCTTCTATACTTCTTATGTTGGTCTGTCCACATTTACTAGGGTTTAGGTCAGAGCTGTGAGATTGTTTTGGTGTTTCCCTCTCTTGTTGTTCCTCTCCTCTCCTGGAATGTTTATTCAAGGCTTAGAGAGGATCTCTGCTCCCCAAAACACAGAAACCTAGACTTTGTAAATGATTATGCATCCCTTTGCTCGGGGCCAGACGCCCGCAGCTGCCCAAGGCGGCAGGTCTCTGGACCAGCTGTAAATGAGTTTTTAGTACTTCTCTGTTTATTCTCTTTTGTTAATTAATTCTTCAAAGACAACGTT